ACATTTACAATGCTGAATAACCCAAAGTGAAGACAGGGGTATCTAATTAGTCTTTCTTGTGACAATCTTTTTTTTTTTGGATTAATATTCTTCTCTTTGAAAAATCTAACAGTGGTGCTTATGTCACCGACTCTACTGATAATTAATAGTGTTCACCATACACCTACACATATTCCTTCCAAAATATTCTTGTGTAATGCCACTACTGGAAAGAGCAATTTCAATTACAGAGGAGCGATTTTGAAGTATATATCATGTGGTCTATTATAAGAAATGTGTCCTTTTGTAAAAGAAAAATCTCTCATAGAACATAATAGTTTATGTAACTTTCCTGAGGTACTGTTTAACAAAACATTTTATGGATGCTTCATCGGGACATGACTTCATAAAGAGGCAGAACTAGCACTCATCCACATTTTCTTTTTTTAAATCCCTAAGATGTTTTCCTGTACTATTTCCGCCCTAGTCACAAGCTTATTAACTTGGGAATGAGGTGACAGGGGCTTTGTCTTCGAATCTTGTAATTATAATTAATAGTAAGTTAAAGGGAAGCAGAAGCTTATATTCAAAGTTTAAAGTAAAATGACTTTGTGGCACTTAGGGCAGGTGCCAGGAAGATATTAAGTAAGAGCTCATTATTATTAATTAGAACTTCAGGAAGACATCTTTGAGAAGCAAAGTCATTTTATGGTTACAAGAGGGGCACCTCTATTTGTGGACAGAGCTTAGGGAGAGGAACTGTGCTGATCTCCTCTCAGGAGACCTATGACCTGGCAGATGCTTTTCCCAGTGGCCCACAACTACTTTGTCCCAGTTGTATACACGACAACAGGAATAGGAGTCAGCGTATACATACTGTCCACTGTTTCCCTCAATGCATTTCTTAAAATCATATCATAAACAAGCACAGAACTTCTTTATGTTTACCTGTGAAAGTTTTATATTTGGGACCTGCATTTTCACCAGATGATTTAACATAAAATAAAGCCCAGCAGTGACCAGTGTCTGTCAAACCACATGGAAATATCATTTCTCTCTAAATATCTATAATTTGAAGTATTAAATTTACTACCCATGTTCTTTAAAAGAAGCATGTATGGTTTATAGAAGTTAAATACATGGAAGACCAGATTACGATGAAATAATGTTGAATAATATAATAGTTAACATTTGTGGAGAGCCAACCATGTTCAGATGTTGCTTTAACCACTTTACATATATCAGCTTATTTTATCCTTACCACACCTCTATGAATGATTTGTATTTTTCCCTCCTTTTCACAAATACGGAAACTGAGGCTGAGAGGTTATACAAAATAATTAGCTATTAAAGAAGTGTAGGCCAATAGTCAAACTAGGCATGCTGACCTCAGTGACTGTGCTGTGATAACATTCACTGAGGTTTCATTACTTGTTCACCACTACTCTAAGTCCTGTACATGTATTTACTTATTTAATTCTCAAAAAAAAATATGAGGTTTGTACCATATTCTTCCCATTTTTCAGATGAGGAAGCTGAGGAAAAGGCTAGGGAAGTGACTTAGCTAAGGATGCCTAGCAAGTGTAACACTGGAGTAAGAGTTCAAACTAACATCTTACTCTAAAGCACACACTCTTAAACACTAGTCTACTCCATACCATGGTTTCTGTTCCTGTTGTCATCTAAAAAAGGAAAAGGCATCTGAGGCTCTGAGCTCATTCTACTGAGAGACTTGGACTCTGGAGACAGTCTGCTCATATTCATGTCTTCACTCTGTCACTTGCTGGCTTCATGACCTTGAGCAGATCACTTAACCTGCACGTGCCCCAGTTCCAAAATTGGCAAGATGAGTATAATAGTAGACAGAACTCATAGGGGGATTAGGACCATTAAGTGAGTTGATGTTTGTAATTTTGTAATCAGGAACTGACTCCTATAAAGCGTGCATTATTTCTCCTATTCTTCAACTTCTTGAAAAGACTGAGAGATAAGCAGAATTATAAAAGTTGAGGCCTGAATATACTGGGAAAATTCTTAGTGAATTAAAAGCCTGTGGAATCAATGCTTACTAAATATCCTTCTATGCTTCCCTTTACAGAGTGCTATATGGAAATTGGTGGATAATTCCTAGATATGTTCTTTAATTCTGTTAACAGGGACTAAATAATTTAAACATTTATGTGACATAATATCTCCAATTTCTGTAATGAAAATGTGTTAATGTTTATAATGTACACATCAAATAATAAACTACAAAAGACTGATACTAGGTAGAAGTAGCTAAAATCATGAACCCCAAAGTGAGACTATCTATCCTGAGTTCAAAGTCAGCCTCCATCCATTACCACATGTGAACTTAGGCAATATATATAATATCTCAACCTCTCTTTACTTAGTCATGAAATAACAAAACTAATTGTACCAAAGTCAATCACTCAGTCAGACACTTGACAAGCATTATTGAGTAGCTGCTTTGTGCCAGCCACTGTTGGGGTTGAGTATACAGCAAGTATATAGCAAACAGACAGACCTAAACTACTGCCCTCCTGAGCTTTCATTCTACTTGTAGGATACAAAAAAAACATACAAATTCTGATGTATGTTCAATTTTCAAACAATCCTAGATATCATTGCTGTTCATTGGCAATGGAAAGGAAGAGGAGGAAGATTTCAGATACCAGTGCCTCACTGCAGAGTTGATAATAACATGGAACTTATATACCTTGGGAAATTTTTCTGGTCCATGACCTTTAACTTGTGTTCCCCATCTTGATCTGAGTTGGGATTTGCTACTCTTAATCGGGATCTTTATCACTAGGACCCAGTATTTGCTGATATACTTATCCAATGACTAGTTCAATAACAAGTATTGATTGATTGATAGTGATGAAAAAAATATTTTCTGTATATGCTGGATATATTTCTCTTCATTTAAAGACTTTTTCATGAATGAATTAAAATATATTCTTTAAGGAATAGAATATTAGTTTCTTGACTGAAATTTGTTCAGAATGATTACAAGAAAACTCATTTAAAGACAAGAGGTATTTTTTTTTAAAAAGCCTGTGTTATAAAAGGATTACATGAGCAAAGAAGCCAGAGAGTCTGTTGAGTAGGATGAGACCATGTAAAATGGAAGTGGATGTTACAGGTGCATTGGAGGAGGCCCCAAATTAGAAGAGATCAGGAAGAGCCTGGAAAGAACACTTTCAAGACTGATTAACTACCAACAGGATTGTTTATGTATTTTCCCTTAACTTCTACAAATAGCTCCCCTCACAAAAGTCATTTTGGAAACTTATCTTTCAAAGTCTGTAAAGACATCAATGATTTTAGTTATCTTACTTAAAGAGGGTAATTTATCATCTAGTCAAGGGTGCATGTGTCTGCCAGGAAAACTGTAAGCCAACATATATCATACTCAGTAGCTTCAAGGATTTGGTTTTCCTTCTTCTCTGTGTTTGAATATAGAATTCATTTCAATCTGACATTTTTTACCTCTCATCATAATTTTCTTCTAATTAAGTTCTATAAATGTATCCTCTATCCCGTTTGAGCTGTAATAAATTCCTTTCCTGAGTTGGCCTTCTGAAAGTCACAAACCAAGGTTGTGATGAATTGCAAAATGACTAATTTCCCTTTTGTGCTTATTTTGATCAGGAGAACGCTAGGGAAAAAGAGTGTCTCACTAGAAAGAGGGTCCTGGTCATAGTGGTTACATGCCTATAAATTGAATATTTCCAACACTGACCCCAGAAGATTTCCAAAACTATATCGATCTAATGCAGAACATAATTTTTCAGCCCCAGATTCTGGGATTTTAATGGCATTACTGAAAAGGATCTATCATGAGGAAAATTTTGCTCTCATGTAAGCCCTCGAGTTAATGATGTAGGTGTGGACTGAGACCATGATGTCATTGGGAATGTGATTTCCTAAAGTCTATATTGCAGAAGAAAGGAACAAGACCATTCGCAGAATGGACTGTGGGAAAACTGAATGTGTAATTTTTATTTTTTTAAGTCATTATTTGTTTTACTTCACTATATAGGCAAGTAAATGCATTATGTCTTTGATTTGAGATGGCTATGTTGAAATTGAACAATTTTTTGGTAATATATAGGCTAAAATTTTAATAGGTGCTTAACATTGGGCACATTTGTTCCTATTATATTGTAAAGCATAGATGAAACTCTATATAAATAAGATTAAAGCATTGCTGTAGATAAAATATCAGGCATTAACCTTGTAGACTCTTGATTTTAGAATGATATAACTCCAATATTTAAATAGCCACAATGATCATAGCCCAGTTCAAATAATACTGCTTAATGTGTTAATCATTAATTTTACATACTTCTTTCTCATTTCCATCTATGCCTTTATAGAGTGGGAATTGCCTTATGCATCCTGAATTCATTACCGTAATTTGTGTACTGTGCATTGACTGAAGCCAGTTTAAGTGGCATATTAGCACAGAATTTGAGCTTCTTCGTTTTGTGTAGATAGTGGGCCATGGAGTTAATGTTTCATTTATAGTATTTGTTATAGCTCTGATAATGTGGTTATGATTCATGATCTCTTCCTAGATAATGTCTGATTTAAGATACACTGTAGTCTGAAAAGAATTTTGCTTTTCTATAATAAGCATGCCTACTGGTTCAAATATCCTAATACTGAGTTATCATTGGTATAACATTTCTTCTATAAAAGAAAAATCAGAATTATTATTTTCAAGTCAGGATTAAGACAGGAACATTCACCTAAACCAATCATCTTATTTACAAATGAGGATTCTGAGATCCAGTGAAGTTTGTTAGATTTATGATGATCATTAGAGACGTAGCCAAGAGATAGAACCTGGCTCTTCTGACTTCTGAACCAGCACTCTGTGAGTGGTCCTGCTTGCTGAAGTGGGATTGTTTGTTGCTGTTTATCCACTGTTGTTTTGTTTATTCAAAATGTAGAACAATTTGATATTATCGCCACATAACTCTCTTTTCTTGTGTCTCCCTGTGCAGCATCATCATGCACCCCTGCAAAGACATCCTGATCTCCTGTGGGGAGGACCGCCTCTGGAAAGTGGTGGAGCTCCCCAAAGGCAATGTGCTTCTCACAGGATTTGGCCACACTGACTGGCTTTCTGACTGCTGCTTCCATCCCAGGTCAGTGCACACAATTCCCTGAACCTGCCTACTCTCTCTAGGAATGCACTTCCTTACTCTGCTTCTATCAGTGTCCTGTTTTTTTTTTTTATTTTTTAAACTACTTTATTTAAGTATGAATGACATACAAAAACTATGCAAAGTTAATGTATGGAACTTGATAAGTTCAAAGATAAATATACATCCTTGAAACTACCACCACAATCTATGCCATAAGCATATCTACCATCTTCAGAAGTTTCCTTTCATCTGCACTATTATTATTATTATTATTATTTATTATAAAATTCTTAATGTAATGTATACCCTCTTTTTAAGTATATGATACAGTATTGTTAACTATAGACTCTATGTTGTACAGTAGATTTAGGACTTAGTCATCTTATATAAATGAAAGTTTTTACCCTGCTGGCTTTGAACTTTCCTCTCTGCAACCTCACACCTTCTCCTGAATTTTGAGACATGTAGAGAAATGCTCTTGGGCTTTCATTATACTGACTTTAGATTGATTGCTTTTGATATTTGGATCATGTAAAACTTAGTCCACATGCTGATGCACTAACAAAAGTATTAAGTTTCCCAGGACAAGCATCATTAATGCTCCTTGTACACACAAGCTCTGACAAGAAACATGGATTTCTAATCAAGAATGCACGCCAGTGTTTACTTTGCTTCCAGTAATCTTTAGGTTTTCCTCTTAGAATTAAGTTATCTACCAAAAAGGATCAGAAGGCGATGATCAATTTCTTTGCAAATTTAATGACACTCAACATATTAAAGAGAACAAAACAAAATTGAAAGCATCGAGTCCTATAATTTCTGAAGTCACTGAATTTTTGTAACTAGAGGCCAAGGGCACAGAGGTAAAGATGTTGTTAAACACTTCGATGCATTATTTCTAGTGGCAGAAAGCTCTACCCACATTTGTTCCTGGGACAACTCCTAGCCCCAATCCTGACTGTATTCTCTTACTCATCATCTTGTGCATCATCTTGTTTAACATTTGTAAATGCTGTTCCATCTAACTCTAACAATCTCTGGTCTAGGTACTCTAGGAGACTTATAGTTCTTGGTGCAATTTCTAAACCACCTCCCCGGGAAATTTTGTTCTTAGGAGGACCTATATTCGTTTAGTTTCCTGTTTTCACAAAACTCTCTCTTTTATTTTAACTATTTTTGTCTTATCCTTCATATGAAAGCCAATGAAATTAGATTGAAATAAAAATAAATGAAATTGTTGAGAAACTTGTGAGTTAATGAGAAAAGTCAGCTGATTTATTTTAATTTTGGGGAATCTTCTCAAAGTGTGATTTATCTTTGGTACTAAGTGTAAATCACATATTTGGTATATAGTTACAAATCCATTCCACCCCTCACCTTTTAGGAATATAAAGCCCATCTTGCAAACAGAGACAACACAATTAGAAGTATAGTCTATCACTTATGTAGCATTCTGGACATGCTAATCAGATTTCCATAAATCCCTATTACCATGACAACCAGTGACTCAGAGATTTTTCTCATTAGTGCTTGACCAGCACAAGGTCCTTTTAATAGATCTTCCTGTTTTCCCACTCAATTACTGAAATTAAAATGAGATGAAATACATCATTATTCACTCATAACATGAATTTATATTCACTACTTTCTTTGGGAATAATTGTGGTGAAATGTAGCTACACTGTTTGCTTTTTCTAGTGCTTAGTGTAAAAATAATGAGGAAAAAATATATTTAACTTTAAATGTTTTTAAGTGAGAGATACTGAATAGCAAGTGTTCTTTTTGTAGAATTAATGAAAAATAATAAATGTTTATCAGAAACAACAAGAAAAGAACTCTTTTATATTTGGGGTAGAGTTCAATTCATAAAGAGTTTATATTTGAAACCTCAAAATTTTATAATGCTTAATATATGAAATCAACATTGAAGATTATATATACATATATATTCACACATATATAATATTTATGTTTTCAAATTTGTTATACTTTCTGAAATTTAAATTTGTGACATTTGGTTTTTATTTCGGCTTGGTAATTGGTCAGTAAAAAAATAGTTTTTTTTAATAGTTTATTGTCAAGTTGGTTTCCATATAACACCCAGTGCTCATCCCCACAAGTGTCCTCCTCCATGCCCATTACCCCCTAACACTCCCTCCCACCCCCATCAGTCCTCAGTTTGTTCTCATCATTCAAGAGTCTCTCATGGTTTGCCTCCCTCCCTCTCCCCCAGTATTTTCCCCCCTTCTTCTCTCCCATGGTCGTCTGCTAAGTTCATCCTAATCCTCCTATATGTGCAAACATATGGTAGCTGTCCTTCTCTGCCTGACTTATTTCACTCAGCATAACACCCTCGAGTTCCATCCATGTTGCTACACATGGCCAGATTTCATTCTTTCTCATTGCCATGTAGTATTCCGTTGTACCACATCTTCTTGATCCATTCGTCAGTTGATGGACACATAGGCTCTTTCCATGTTTTGGCTCTTGTTGAGAGTGCTGCTATGAACATTGGGGTACATGTGCCCCTATGCATCAGCACTCACGTATCCCTTGGGTAAATTCCTAGCAGTGCTATTGCTGGGTCATAGGGGAGTTCTGTTGTTAATTGTTTGAGGAAGCTCCATACTGTCTTCCAGAGGGGCTACACCATTTTACATCCCCACCATCAGTATAGGAGGGTGCCCATTTCTCCACATCTTCGCCAGCATTTGTAGTCTTCTGATTTGTTCATTTTAGCCACTCTGACTGGCATGAGGTGATATCTGAGTGTGGTTTTGATTTCTATTTCCCTGATGAGGAGGGATGCTGAGCATCATTTCATGTGTCTGTTGGCCATCTGGATGTCCTCTTTGGAGAAGTGTCTGTTCATATCTTTGGCCCATTTCTTCACTGGAATGTTTGTTTTTCCAGTGTGGAGTTTGGTGAGTTCCTTATAGATTTTGGATACTGGCCCTTTATCTGATATGTCATTTGCAACTATCTTTTCACTAGTAAAAAATAGTTTATGATTGAAGATAATATTTTTTATATTTTTCTATGTACTAATCTACAATTTAAAAATTAAACAAAATAAATATGATTCCAATATCATACTTAATAAGTAGTTGGATCTTTCACTGATGAATGCAATCTTTCTCAGAACCCATCTTTGTGATCAGCTTGATTCTGTTTCCTTGGAAGAGGTTCAGAGTGGATATACTACATACTGACATCTGTCTAATTCCCGTGCTCAGTAAAAAAAGAAACTTCTGTATTTTCTTTATGTTTAATTGTGGTTGTTCCTAGTTGAGTATTTTCTGTAACTTCCAGCTGGATGTGTTCCTGATTACTATGACATTCAATGCACTGTCTCTTCTTTCACAATGACATAATCCAAATTTCTTTTAGGGATCAATCCTACTTAATATGACACTGATATAACCTGACTTCCCCAAATGAGTCTTTGTTGTCCTGTTTCCTTTGCTATAATGTTATACCCAGATTGCAGTATCCTCAACGACCAGAGACCACAGGGGAGACCGAGTCACACATGCAAAAGCAAAGGGCTCGAGCTGGGGCTCCCAGACCTCACCAACGCAGTGGATCTGTGCTGAGAGCCCCGAACAAAGGCAGAGTAGAGTTTTTATAAGGTTTGTGACAGGGGAATTACAGAAGTTGTGACGTGAGAACAATGACCCAGTCGTAATTATACAGCATTATTGACAGCAGGTTTAACCATACATGTTATCCAGAGTATCTGTTACTTTTCGCAGGATCCAATTACAACATTCAGGGTACCCTTAAATTCAACCAACCATAAAGCGAGCCTAGAGTCTTGTTTGGCGGCTAATGGGTTAACTTTTACATTAGGCAGCTGAGATTTATCTATAGTTGCTGGCCTTTCTTGATTGGGCATTGCCAAGGTAGTGTGGTGGAGTGAAGTGGTGGGCAGTTTCTTCGGCCCTGGGCAATGTGTAGCTGCCTGATAGTTCCAGGGAAACTGAAACTTAGGCCTTCTAGTTTAGAGGGGAAACAAAGCCTATTATGGAGTCAGTCTGGTTTAGACTGGTGTCCTTACAATAGCAGACCACTTCAGTGCATAAACAACAAATACAATAGGAAAAGTAATATTAATATCAGGCAAAGAAGGATTGGCAGGTGAAAAATTAACAGAGAACATAACTTCTCACTTGAGGATTCTGATAATATGATGTAGAAATAGATAAAATAAAATATCTTATAAATACAAGAAGATTCTCACAAAACCATAGTTATCAGAGTAAAAGACTTCAGAGTATCTCTGTCAGTTTTTAATCTGTCAAGTAAATAAAATTATAATTGAATTAGAGGAATTAATAAAATATCATTTTAACGGTGAAAAGAGATTTTTGAAATCATTTATTGTTAGTTATTTTTGAATATATAAATATTACACCAAAGATTTAAAATAAATGAGTTCTTCAGAATAGAAATCATGTAATCTGTAATTTTAAAACAAAACTCAGTAATAGAAGAAAATAATAAATATATTAAAATAAAACCTACATTAATAAAAAGTAAAAAAATGAATATTGGGTCACAGAGGAACAATAAACTGTCATCACCTGGTTGGTAAACAATCATTACCACAATACTCATCAAATATCTGAGATATAACCAAAGCTGTATTCAGAGTAACATTGATGGCTTTAAATGCTTCATTAAATGGTTTAATAAACACACACACACACATGCACACACACACACACACACACACACACATACACGTAATGAAAATAAGTGAATTATGTATTCAAATTAAAAAGTATAACTGGTCAACAAAATGTAGAAAAGCCAAAGAATGAATAAATGAAAAATATAAATAAATTAGAACAAAAAAAGTAAATATGGGTTAAACTAAAAGCCTTTGTGAGAAAAAAATAATAAAATATGAAACTATTATAATAGAAGTAGATACCTCACAAAACTGCTGGAAAAATAAAAGTGAGAAAACAAATATAAATGTTAGTGATTCATAA